GGCAGCCCCCAGGGGCCCAGGCCAGAGGTGAAAGGCAGGCTGGACTTCACTCGGCGCCCATCCTCGAGGAGCACCTGGCTGCTGGCCTCTGGGACCGGCTAGGAGAGCCGGTGGGCTCAGTGTCAGAGGGTTTGCTCCTGGCCCACCGGCTCTCCTGGCCACATGCCCTGAACACCTCCTTTGTGACCAAGACTGCCAGCTGTCCTCCAAATCCATTCCTTCCCTCTTTCCATGGTGACAGGCTCCCAATTTTTACCTAGACCCAGAGCCACCCAGCTAAATCCCACCTTTCCATGCCTGACAGCTTGGTGGGGCCCGACGGCAGAGGGAGCAGCTGCTGGCCTCCAGGTTCCCTTTCTATACACGTCCCTCTCCCTCGTGCCCCTGGTGGGGACGCGGACCCAGAAGATGGACAGAAGCATTACCGAGGGGGATGGAGGAACCATAAGACAGGAGAGGACACCCTCAGGCCACCAAGCCAGCCTGGACCTCCTACCCAGACTTTGACAGAAAGCATACATTTCTGTCTTAAGTCACTGTATTTGAGGATGTTTTGTTAGAACAGCCTAACGCATATAGGAATGTCTACTTAATCCAGTAGAAATACCACCTGAGATCAGATCAAAAGCTGTTTCAACCCAACTCTGCCGGGGGTGAGAGGTCACCGGCATTTCCCTTGACGTGATCCTCAGTCTCTACGCACAAGGAAACCCCGGTCTCCTTAATAATCTGTTACAGATCCGTTATTCACAAACCGATTAAGTCTTCATAAAAATGTGTCCCCATCTACCTCATCAAGGAATGAGTAAGAACAGTGATCAGCGGCGTCACCATCATGCTCCGTAAGTGGTCCCATTTCTATCTAGTTCTCTTCTCCTCGAACCCGCAGGCCAAGGAGGGCGTGGGGTGCGGCTGACACGGGAGTGCTCGCGCACTGCGCAGCCGGAGGTCGGGGTGGACCGCACCGCGGCTAGTCGGCCGCTGAGCAAACTGAGGTCAGTCGCGGCCCTCCCGGGACCTCTGCGTCCTCAACTAAAAATGGGGACAGTTAGAACATCTACTTTTGTGATAATTGTGAGGATTATATACAAAGACTAACACTAAATTAAAAAGCAATCGAAAAGAAAAACTGCCTGGCAGTGGAACAGCTGATTTACAAAGCACAGTTGCGGACATTCTCGTTAAATCCTCCTGATGAGGTATCGTAATTACCCCCTTTTATAGAAACTGGCTGGAAGTTTAGTGATTTGCCCCAAATCTCATAGATGGTAAATTGTAAATATAAGTGTCACTGAGCCTTGTTTTCCTGAACCACACGGCCTCTGAGTAACGAGATCAGGATTCCAGAAAATCACCCCAAAAGCCCAGACCATTTTGTTACTGGTTTCTCAGTTAGCCTCAACAATCATGTGACTTCCTGTAGGTCAGAAACAAAGGAACAGGGCCTGCTGGGCATCCCCACCGGCAGGCCAGAGCCAGGGCCCAGGAGGCGGGAGGTCGGGGAGGGGCATGCTGGTCACTCAGGGGACACAGAAGCCCAGTACAACGTGTGGGTCTTACTGTGACCCTGATTCAAATAAGCCAACAGTTAAAAACATCTTTGAGACAACTGGAAAAATCTGAACATGAACTGGGTATTAGAGAATATTATGAGATTACTGTTCATTTGTTAAGTATGATATTGACATGATGATAGGTTAAAAAAGGAAAAGAGAAGTCTATGCACCCACAGAAGAATGCCCCATACTAAAAAACCCTGAATGTTTGACAAAGGTACAAACGTAATTCAATGGAGGATGGACGAAGGGTAGCTTTTCGACAAATGGTGCTAGGTCAATTGGACAGCATGGGCAAAATAGTGAACTCAACCTAAACCTCATATAAAAATTCACTCAAGCCCTGGCCAGTTTGGCTCAGCGGTTAGAGCGTTGGCCTAGGGTCCAGAGAGGCCCGGGTTCGGTTCCCGTTAAGGGCACGTACCTCGGTTGCAGTTTGTCCCTGGCCCTGGTTGGGTCGTGCGGGTGGCAGCCACTCGATGTGTCCCTTTCACACGGATGTTTCTCTCTCCCCCCCTCCCCCTCCATCTGAATAAAATATCAGAAAATGTCCTTGGGTGAGGGTAAAAAAAAAATTCACTCAAAAAAGATCAAGGACTAAAATGTAAAATGTAAATCTGTAAGAATAGTAGAAAAAAATCTTCAGGACACGGGGCCTGGTGAAGGGTTTTACAGACCTGACATTTAAACACAATTCATGATCAATTGCACTTTATCAAAATTAAAAACTTGGCTTTGCAAAAGATCTGCGAAGAAGATAAAAAGACTAGGTAGAGTGGGAGAGAGTATATACAAAGCACACATCCAACAAAGTTCTTGTGTCTAGAGTATATAAAGAGATCTTATAAACAAAAAAAATTCCAATTAGAAAATGGGCAAAAGGCTCACATGGACATCTCACCCAAGAGGAAACCTGGCCAGCAAAGAAGCACAGGAAGGGATGCTCAGCAACTGGCCATTAAGAAAATGCAAATGGAGAGCACAATGAGATATGACCACACCTATAAGAATGGCTAAAATCAATGACAACACCAAATACTGGCATGGACGTGGAGAAACTGGATCACTCATACACTGCTGGTAGGAATGCAATGCAGGAAAATTGTTTCTTTTAAAATTAACCAGTTACCACAGGCCCCAGCAATCACACTCGTAGGCATTTATCTCAGAGAAATGAAAACTCATGTTTACACAAAAACTTATACACAAATGTTCACAGCCACTTTATTCATAATCACCCCAAACTGGAAACAGCCTAGATGTCTCTCAATGTGTGGCAGGTTAAACAGACAGTGGGACATCCATACCATGGTATACTAGTCAGCAATGAAAAGGAGCCACCGACACGACGACCTGGAAGGTTCTCACTCACGTGGAGTGAAAAAAGCCAACCTTTAAGATCACACACTTTATAATTCCATTTAAATAACATTCAAACAGTACAGTTACAGAAGTGGAGAACACAGCAGTGGCTGCAAGGCATTAGGGGTGGGAAGGTGGTGGAGGTGGTAGTTATAAAGAGCTAGCCTGAGGGCGCTTCGTGGTGACAGACATTCTGTACCCACACATGACAGACTGCACAGGACTGCACATGGAGGAGTGGGGAGACCTGTGGATTACCCAGCGTCCTTGCCTGGTTTTGATGTTGCATTTGTGTGAGGTGCTACTGCTGGGGGAACTGGGAAAGGTGCACTTGACCTCCCTGAATTTTTTTTGCAGCATCCTGTGATTCTATAATTATTTCAAAAAATGTAGTCTACTGGAGATGCATAATGACATATTTACAAATTGAATGACATAAGTCTTGGTTGTGCTTTATAAAATACTCCAGGAAGAAAAAATAAAGAAAAAAAGGTAGGAAAAATAGATGAAACAGAATAGAAAAAATGTTGGTAAGTGTTGAAGTTGAGTGAAGAATGTAGGGGGAAACAATTTTCCTCTTTAATTTGGGGTTTGAAAATTTCCAAAATACAGTGTTAGCTAGTTCCCAGCAGTACCTAGTCAGCAGAAGGCTAAGCCTCACTTACCTGTTTACAGCCTTCCTCATTGCTATGATTTCTGGATACAAATTAAGTTCAAAGGTTATAAAAGTCTGTTTCATTTATGAAGTTTTTTTCATGACCTTTTATTAAGAGTTCACAAATCACATTCTTAAACTGGCTCTGTTTACTACTTATTCCCTCTAAGAATTCCCCTCAAATTAAAAAAATAGGAATTTGTAACTATACATTGAGAAGTATGCACAGTTCTCACACAACAAATCTCAAGTCGTCCGACCACCTCCGTGTCTCGTCCAGAACACAACCACAGCACAGCCCGACACCCCGAAGCAGAGATGGCGACTCTAGTCCCCACCCTACCTCCTCCCCTGCGAACGGCACTCAGCAGGAGTTAGTTTTGGATGCTAACAGCGAAAAGGAACTGCAAAAATACGGACCGAGGTGACTGCTCGCGAGAGCCGTGAAGACGGCGAGCTGGGAAGGTTTCCTCCTGCCTCCGCCTCGACTCACACTTGGGACTGGGGTCAAAGTCAACAGGCTGAGTCACCAAGAGCTGAAACACAAACTCCTACCTGACTACTTTCAACTGGAAGAGCTTCAGGTCACCACAAACCTGAAAAACTCTTATCTGGCGGGGAGCTGGAGAACCCACTCTTCTCACTGGGATCCCCTCTTCAGTTACTGACAAGCAGCTCTTTCCTTCTGGGGGACGGGACGGGGTGACCTAAGAACAGTGAGGCCAGACGGACGTGGAGCTGCCATAAAGTCACCAAGGTCTTGAGTTTCCAGTTCACCCAGTGCACGAAGATTGAGAGGTGACTGGAAGCCGAGAGCAAGAAAGTTCAACACGGACCTCAGGGTGCCAACCCTGGGAACTCCTCACTGATCCCGTGTTCACTTCCGTTCCAGGTGTCTTGGGCATTTTTCTTCCTTAGACTTGGTTTAAAAATCTCTTCTTTTGGAGGCCAGCCAAAGGGTATCAGCTTGCCCAGCATCTTCTTGAAACACTTGTTTTGCAATCTGTAGGGGACATGAAGGATGAAATCTCCCCGCAGGAGGCACAGAGGTTGAACCGACTCCGACCGGCTCCTGGAAGAACACCGTGGCCTGGCCTGCCGGCTCCTCTCGGCCTAAGGAGGAGCACGGCTCTCTGTGTGTGCCGGCTTCCAGCAGACCCCCTGGGCTTCCCAGCTTTCAGAAAACAAGGCCTATCCCTCTCTCAAGATCTCCTCCCACCCCCAAACCCTCCCCCACCTGTTGTTTAAAATCTAATTCCTCTGTAGAGGCTCTTGTCAGAGAAAACTTTTCCTGGGACGGGGCAGGACTCGGTAGTTCCCAAGCGGGACAATCATGCTCACCTCCCAGGAGAGCACCGCCTGCAGGGAGCCCTTCCGCATCGCTCCCCGCAGGAGTGTCCCCACCCTCCCGACTCCCGCCAGCCCAGAGCACGAGTGATGTGTGCGAAGGCGGCCACTCTCTATCAGCTCAACAGGGCACTTGGGGCCCAGCTAAGGAAGGAAAGGAGAATGGGGTTCTAGGATGATAAATAGGTGCTACAAATTGTTTGAGTCAATAAAAGGGGCCCAGATAGCCTGGAATGGAAACGAGGCTGAGTCCTTCTGTCAGTAAGCAAGGAAGAAAGCACAGCGCCCCCTTTCCTGCCGCCCTTCCTGGTCTTTCAGGAATCAGGTTCTGTGATAACAAATGAAGATACCAGCTGCTCCGACACCCCACAGCACGGCCTGGTTGATTAAGAAAGCCTCGTTATTACCATCATATCAGGTCTTCCTCACCCACACATCCAGTGAAAATAGAAAATCTTAATACAGAGTTTGCTATTAAAATCATGCCCGGTCACACCCCAGCAGCCTCAGCCGGACCACAGGCCACCCTCTCCACTTCCTTTGAATGGCTTTAACTCCCCCAGGAGGGTTGTGTCCGTGTCTCTGTACAAGGCGGGCTTCCTTCTCAGCTCACGAGAGGGACCTAGAAAGAAAAGGAATCCATGGAGCCTGTCTGCGGGGGGCCCCGCCTGCGCTCCTTCTACGAGGCAACAACTCCAGGGCTGCGAGGGTTGGTCCTGGAGCTGCAGAAAGCCCAACCTCTATGCAACAAGAGGTACACGAGGGAGACAAGTAAGGAGAGGAGAGGGGAGAACACTTCCTCTTACCAGAGTAGCTTCCCCCCAGATTCAGACCCACTGCTGGCCTCCATTTTCTGCCGAGAAGCAGAGAAGACCACCTTGGGTGACCAGAGAGCCTCTGTGCACCCCAGCCTCCAACTCACTTCTTCCTGCGGATCTTGGGTTTCTTCACGGGGCGCAGGTAGGGGTTATCGATGATGTTCTCTTCCCCGTTCCGGCTCCCCGACAAGGAGGGGTTCTGCTGCAGAACAGAGGTGTTTTCCTTCTCGGCTCCGGAGTCATCCTTTGAGCAAAAGCCGGAATAAAGCAAAACACCAATGGCATAAGGAAAGAGATCAAGCCCGTAGTAAGAACTATTAGCATCCCTTTCAGGGGGAACTTGAAAGCTCAGGGCCACCTTCTTTCTCGAGTGCCTACCTCTGCCTTGGACGGAACGAGGCCAGGCAGCACCGGCTATCAGAGGGAGGTGAGGCCAACAGCTCCGACGCAGTGGAGCACAGAACCCCAACCCTGAACTCCTGACACGGCGGGGACACGAGTCAGAAAGGACAGAGACCAGGGAGGGGTGGGAGATGGGGCTAAAATTCAGGTACTCAGGAAGGAAGCCCGCCTGCCTGCAGGGACACGAAGAAAACGAGACGTGAGCCCCCACACTGCAGGACTGAGACAGGGTCGGAACAATCCCTGCAGTGGGCCTCTCCTGAACCAGAGCTACTGTAAAGCATAAGAGATGCCCCCAAATCCTCGAATATCTGGTACTTGCAACATGGTACCAATGATCACACTGCGGCAGAGGCCAGAAACTCCCCGAGCCCTGAGGGTTCCCACCAAGGCAAAGCAGAGCTGCCGGCACCAACACCGGAATGTCATTCATAACCCCACTGTGGCCGGGGGTCAGGTCTTTCGCGGTTTGGTTTGAAGACAGTGATTTTGCAGAAAAGTTAGTACATTTACATTTATTCGATATGACCCCAATTAAACATTTTTAAAAATCACAATTGTGTGTAAACAGAACTTAATATGTTGAAAGTTTACAAACTGGTTCAGAAAATATGGGTGATTGATTCTCCTTTCCTTATTAAATACTCTCTTCTAGTTTCTAAGTTCTGTAAAATGAGCAGAGCAGGGGAAAGGGGGACAAAAATCACACTAAGAACTTGACCTAGAAGCTCATTCCTTAGTGACTGTAAGTGACCAGAGCTGGTGAGGCTGCGCCCCCTGGTGACAGGCCAAGGGTTCTGTCACTGAGATTCCTGTTCTGTAACTGGAGGCAAAAGCAGACCTGACCTCAATCGGGAGATTCTATTGTCAAGAGACGGCAGGGCAACGGACACTGCAATCCGACGGCACAAAATGAACGGCAGGCTCTGCACAGACGGCTGGCCCAGCAGGAGGGCAACAGGCTCAGGCTCCAGGAACCTGAAGAGACTGGATTACTTCTAGGTTCCGCTGCACACTCTCACCTGTCCCATCGACTGTTCTCCCGAAGGCCCAGTTCCGTGCAGGATCCCTGTGCTGTTCCTCTCCAAGCCCTGATCCGAGGACCACAAGTTGACTCAGAGCCCCTGCAGGCCTTCTGGGGGCTCTCCTGGAGGCGAGTGCCCAACATCAACCCAGCTCATGCCAGACACAAGGTCTGACCACCACCAGACCTGCCTTGGACATTTGGCTCCTAACCTTTCTTTCCTTTTTTTTTTTTTATCCTCACCCAAGGATATTTTTTCCAGTTTTTGTTCAGATAGAGTGGGAGGAAGAGAGAGAGAGAGAGAAACATCGATGTGAAAGGGTCACATCGAATGGCTGCCACCCGCACGACCAACCAGGGCGGGGGACAAACTGCAACCGAGGTGCATGCCCTTAGCAGGAACCGAACCCGGGTCTCTCTGGACCGCAGGCCGACACTCTAACTGCTGAGCCAAACCAGCCAGGGTGGCTCCTAACCTTTCTAAAGTTCTTTTTTTTAAATTCTCACCCACGGATATTTTTACATTTCTCTTCAGACTGGGAGGAAGAGAGAGAGTGTGAGGGAGAGAGAGCTACATCGACTGGTTGCTACCGCATGACCCCAACTGGGGCCAGGGACGAAACGCAACCAAAGTATGTGCCCTTAGCCGGAATCGAACCCGGACTCTTTGGGCTGTAGGCCGACACTCTAACCACTGAGCCAAACTGACAGGGCCCTTTCTAAAGTTCTTTACAGCTTAATTTAGTAACCATCCCCTACACACCTCTTATCATGTCTCTATGGTCAACAACTTATCGTTAGGGTTACTGAAAGTTCGCTCCAACTGTGCCTTAAGTGTTTTCTGAAACGGGAGGTGACACAGGTGCTGAAAAGCCAGCCCTGCGACCTCTGCTGGAGGCACTGAGGCTGCCTCCGTTCGGCTCACTGTCTCAGAGGGCCAGGATGTGGTCCCAGTCGTGGGACAGCAGCTTCTCTCTCGCAAGCAGAGCTTCTGGAAATGCTACTTCCTTGCCTCCCTTAGGGACAGGCAGCCTTGAGATGGAGAGGGATCGGAATAGAAAAAGGAAGTAAAGTACCAAACTGACCAAGATTTGTAAAAACCGCAGAGCAGAGGGGTCCGTCAAGAGCTCCTGGGGCCTGGGAAGGAGACTCAGGGATGCGTGCGTGCCGAGCCCCGACCCTGGGTGACTGCACCGCCCCACAGCTCCAGTGCCAGGTCCACACCGACGGCTCTCACGTGACTCTCCAGCCCTTCCCTCTCCTACCTCCAGGCTCACAGGCACGGCCACCCACATCTCCCTTGGGCGTCAGGCAGGCATCTCAAACTTAACGTGCCTACACGAATCCCGGACCCTCCCCTGCGCTCAGAAGGTTCTTCCTGCATGCTCCTGGCCACCAGTGACGGCAACGCTAGCCAAACACTCCAGTCATTCTTGCTTCTTTTCTTTCTCTGACATCCCACATCGTCTGTCAGGAAGACTTCCTGGCCTTCCCGTCAAACTACAGGCAGAATCTGACCATTGCCAGTGACCCTATGCGACCATCCTGGTAGGACCCACCAGACTTGCCCAGACACTGCAAATGCTTCCTAACTGATCTCCCTTCCATCCACGCTCTGCCTGCCCGGCTGCAGTCCCTTCTCTTCCAGCGAGCCTGGAATAAGTCCACCCAGACATGTCCCTCCCCTGCGCCACATCGCCCACCGCTCCCGTTTCACCCAGTGAAAAGCCAGTCTTCAAACCTCTTGCAAGGTCCTACCTGATGGGACCCGTCCTCTCCCTCTGCCTTCCTCAGACACACCCACTCTCACCTCTGTCCTGTTCCTCAGGGCCTCTGCATGGCTGCTTCCCTTCCAGAACATTCTTCCACAGATATCCACCTGGCTCACTCCCTCACCTCCTTCAAGTCTCTGTTAAATATCATCTCGGTTATGTCTACCCTGAGCACCCTATTTAAAACCGAATACTCTAGCCTTCACCCTGGACCTTCCCTCCCTGCCTCCAACAGCACTTTATTTTATTTTATTTATTTTTTTATCCTCACCCGAGGACATTTTTGCATTTATCTTCAGATAGAGTGGGAGGGAGGGGGGGGGAAGAGAGAGAGAAACATTGACATGAGAGAGACACATCGACTGGCTGCCACCCACACAACCGCATGGGACTGGGGGCAAACTGCAACCGAAGTACCCGCCCCTACGGGAACCGAACCCGGGACTCTCTGGTCCACAGGCCAACGCTCTAACCGCTGAGCCAAACTGGCCAGGGCTAAAACATCAGTTATTTAATGAACTGTAGCACTGTGTGTAAATGCTAAAGATCCAAAACAAGCTAAATGTCCACAGGGACTGGTTAAATTCACTTGTTGCATCCATGAAACATAATGAGCTGAGTGGGGAGGAAGACACTCCTTGTATACAGATGTGGAGTGACTGCCAAGATATACCGGTGAAGGCAAACAGCAAGGGGAAAACCATCTGTGACTTGCTGGTTGTGTTTATTTATTTATTTATTTTATCCTCACCCGAGGACACTTTTCGATATTTTGTTCAGATAGAGTGGGAGGGAGAGAGAGAGAGAACCATTGACGTGAAAGGGACACATCGAGTGGTTGCCACCCACATGACCCAACTAGGGCCGGGGACAAACTGAAACCGAGGTACATGCCCTTAGCGGGAGCCAAACCCGGGTCTCTCCAGACCGCAGGCTGACGCTCTAACCGCTGAGCCAAACCGGCCAGGGCTGCTGTTTGTGTTTAAAACAACAATAAAAAAAAAATCTGTCTCTAGAAGGACACATAACAAAGAAACTGGCGACTGGCTTCTTTGGGTGTGGAAGGGGATAACAGGAAGCACGAATGAGAGAGAAAACTGTCCCCCTACATCTTCTCATACATTCTGAATTCTGAAACAAACCATTATATCTGCCAGTCCAACAAAATAACAAGTCCAATCAAGTGTATATAAACGTGACACTACAATCCTTTTCTCAAAGCCTTTTCTTTTACTTTTGACAGGCCAGCATGTGGTTGTACAACCCAAAACAGCAGCGGGGGCAGCGATGAGGGCCGGGAGCTGCCATGTCGGGCACCTGACACGGGAGCTCATTTTACATCCAGCTCCTGCTTCCCCTTAAGGCAGGTGCTCCTACTCCCATTTGTACTCAGATGCTGGGTAATGTGTCTGGAAAGTAGCAGGTGTGGATTCAAAGCCAGGCCAGTCTGGCTCCACGGGTCAGGGCTTCCTACCCTGCCGTCTGGCTTGGCCTCTCGGTCCGGGAGAGCGCAGGCAGCTCCTGGCATTCTTTCAGCCTCATTCACTCAGCACCACGGCCTCACCTTTGTCGTGACCTGAAGTGTTAGCACATCTGCAAGCCCTTTAGCTACTCTGTACTTACAAAGGGATGGTGACACTTGCTAGAAGATTCCTCCTGTTCATAAGGTGAACCTCATCTTAGTCCATCACCCGATCACCCTGTCTCAGCCCAAATTAACCGACTCCAAATCAGAAGTGTAGTTCCGCTGCTTTATGTAAAGCCATGGGCTCCCTGCCCTAATTCTGAAAGGAACCATTCAGCATTAAAGAGATGTGTGTTCACCCGACTGGTGTGGCCCGGTGGACTGAACATCATCCCATGAACCGGGAGACCTGGGTTCGATTCCTGGTCGGGGTACATGCAAGAGGCATGCAGGAAGGGGGTGTGGAGGAGGCAGCCAATTGATGTTTCTCTCTCACATCAATGTTTCTATCTCTCCCTCTAAGAAATCAATAAAAACATATTTTTAAGAGTGGAAGAAATGTGTGTTCAAGCAAGGAGCGCTTCAGCAAAGAACAGACACAGCACTGGCGCTCTCCACCCCCTCTGGAGCTGCTGGCTGCCAACGGGCGCAGCGCACCCTAGAGAACACACGAACACTCGGTCCGCCAACGGGCGCAGCGCACCCTAGAGAACACACGAACACTCGGTCCGCCAACGGGCGCAGCGCACCCTAGAGAACACACGAACACTCGGTCCGACCTGGACCACTGAAGGCCAGGGCTATCTTAGGAACGGGGGAACATGGTAACCTGACTACAAGGGTCCTGCAAGCCTTAGAGGCTCAGACTTTCAGCAGTTCTGCGATCTCCTTTACTTTCTCCCAAGATGCAGGAACTAGACTGGGCTCCCATCCTTCCTCTGGCAAAGGACAACACTTCGATCAGAAAGAACACCCCAAGGTCCGATGAGCACGTCTCCTCACCCACCTGTGTCTCTGTACTCACACACTTTATCTCCTGTCCAGGATATGAAATGTCCAGAGCACCCCTCCATTTGGGTACTAGATGCCCTGTGACCAACCAAAAAACATCATTCCCAAATGTTTCTCTTTCCTGCACCAATTTTCCCTCTCTACCATATCATCCCCATCAGCAAAGAAACACCTGGTTTTCTTTTACCTTAAAAACCAAAACCACCTCTTTTAAATACTTCATTTTCCTTTTAGCTACCATCCCATTTCTTTCTTTCCCTTTACAGCAAACTTACTTGAGACAATTTTCTATATAAGTGCCGTCCAGTAGAACTTTGTGTGATGACATAAATGTTCATATCTGCACTGCCCAGTATGGTAGTCACGACCCACACGTGGCTATTAAAATGTGGCTAGTCCAACTAAAAAACTAAATTTTTAGTTTTATTTAATTTAAATTAACTTAAACAGCCACGTGTGGCTCATGGCTCCTGTTATTGGCAGTGCACGTCTATGCGCACCGATGCCAATTTCTCTTCTCCCATTCCTCTAACTTCACTGCAGGCCTTTGCTCTCATTCTTAGTGAACTTTCTCTTGTCGGGGTCACAAATTACATTCACACCGCCAAATCCAATGGACAAATTCTCAGTCCTTGTATCACGGAAACTAACTGGGAGCTTCTGGCACAGGTGATCACTCTTTTCTCCCTGAAACACTTTCTTCCCTTGGCCACCAGGACACCGCATCCTCCGGGTTCTCCCACCTCTCCGGCTGTGCCTTCTCCATCTCCCCATCTCAACACGGGGAGCCCAGGGCTCAGTCCTGTAGCTCTGCTCTTTTTTCTGTTCATCACTCCCTAGTAGCTCATCTAGTCTCACAGTTTTCTTTTTAGAGAGAGAGAAAGGAAGAGGGAGAGAGAGATAGAAACATCGATGAGAGAAAACATCGACTGGGTGCCTCCTGCATGCCCCCGCTGGGGGTTTGTCCCACAACCTGGGCATGTGCCCTGACCTGGAGTCGAACCAGTGATCTCAACTACTGAGCCACACCAGCTGGGCTACTCTCATGGTTTTAAATACAACTTACATGCGATGGCTCCCAGGTTTGCATCTATAGCCTTAACAGCTCCTCAAACTCCAACTCATACATCCACCTCTCTACCAGACACCACCACCGAGATGTCAAACTTACTGTGTTTACACCTGAACTCCTGGCATCCCCCTACACACACACCTGTTCCACCAACAGTCTTCCCTATCATGGCTGAAGGCAACTCCATCTTTCCCATGTTCAAGCAAAAAAACCTTGCATTTATCTTTGATTCTCTCCTCTCACATCTCACATCCACTCCATCAGTTGGCTCTACTCTGAACATAACCTAGAATTTGACCAATAATTTATCTGACCATGTGTCATTATCTTTGCTTCTACCACCATCTCTTAGATTACTGCAAGAGCCTCAGAACTGGTCTGCTTCTACTCTCACTTTCTAGTCTACTCTCAACACAGCAACCTGACTGATGCCGTTAACAAACCCACATCAGTTCCTGGCCCTCCTCTGCTCAGCATTTCCCATGGTTCCATCTGACTGAAGAAAAGCCCACGGGTTTAACATGGCCTTTAAGATCTGATCCCCCACCCAATGAGCTATGACCTCATCCCCTCCTACTCTCCCCTGTTCATGCCACTCTGGCCACCCTGATGGCCTTGCTGTTCTTCAACACAACAGCTTCCACCTCAGGGCCTTTGCATCTGCTGATCCCTCTGTGAGAAATGCTCTACTTTCAGATATGTGTCAGCTTTGCTCCTTTCGGGTCTTTACTCATATATCACCTTCTCAGTCATCCTAACTCCACACCCCCCATGCCCAGAGCTACTTCCCATCTCCTAATTTATTACTTCATACCTTAGCTTCTTGAGGGCAGGAAATGTGTCAGTTTTGTCTCCCACTAATTCCCAGCACCTGGAACTGTGTCTGGTTCTGGCAGGTGCTCATTCAGTATTTACTGAATGAATGAATGAAGCCCCAGGACAGGGACTTGCCTCTCAAGCTAGCGGTCATACCACGCTCGATCATAAGGAGCCTATCATGCAAGTCCCAGGCATAAAGGCACAGACCCGGGGTAGGTCATGTCCAATTCCCAGGGTGACAGGCTGAGGGCAGTGTGGGCTAGTTTGGGGGTTACTATGAAGCAGGAAGAAAGCAGGACCCACCGTGCTGATGTGAAGTGGGAGGTTCTCTGTGTCTGTCTGCTCGTCCTGCTCTGAGGAATCCGTCTCTTCCATTTGTTGCATCTCCAGTTCAGATGGGAGAAGAGCTGTCAGGTAGGGGATGGTGAAAGGTCTGGCAGCAATCACTGTGGGATTGGAAGAGAAGCACAATTCCACAGTCATGAAGTCCTTGCAGCCGGCCTAGGGCCTCACAACAGATCAGTGGGCAGCACCGAATGACAATAATGGCTGATACACTCTGAGCACTTACCGTGGGCCAGGCCATGTCCTATAGGCTATACAAGTACAGTCCTAATCCTCATCTCCACTGTAATAGCTAAGTACAATTAGCAACCCCATTTTACAGATGAGGAACCTGAGACACACGAGAGGTTAGTGACTTCCTCCAGCACCCAGAAAGTGGCTGAGTGGGATTTGAACTTGAGCAATGTAACTTCAGAGCCCACTTTTCCCAAGTACGACTACAATTAGACAGAACTGGGGCTGCATCCTAGTAAAGCATCAGCTTAGTGCTCTTATATCCAAGGCCAGTTAAGCCCTCTAAGCCTCATTTCTAGAGCATAGATATTGATCCCATCAGCCTGAAGGATTCGAGTCCAAATATTGGACTTAAGAACTCTCTGCATGTAAGTGTATCCACTGAACTAAGGGCACTTCAGGTAAATGAGCGTTCTCGTTCTTCCAAAATGCACTGAGGATGAGAAGAAATCGTTAATAAAATAAATAAATAAAAGGAAATCTCTATGCACGCTAGAATGTGATTATCATGTGATAGTCTAGGTTTAAAATCTACTATCTGTGTGGCCTTGGTAAGTTACTTTCTTTTTTCTTTTTAAAAAAAAATGCAAAAGAAAGGGAGAAGGAGAGGGAGAGAGAGAAACAACAACGTGAGAGCAACATCGATCAGCCACCTCCTGCACACCCCCTCCTGGAGACTGAGCCCACAACCCAGGCATGTGCCCTGTCCTGGAATCGATCGAAGTGGCAACCTCTGAGTGCAGGGGGCTACATTCAATCCACACCAGCCAGGGCTCCTTCTCCTCTCTCCTTCCTCACTTTGGGAAACCTGAGGCCTATGGAGAGGAAATGAATTAGTCACACAGCAAAATGGTAGCGCTATGATGAGAAATTAAGTGAGAAGGTACTTGTGCGAGGACATGGTAAAGAGCAAAGCCCAGCAGGCGTTCTGTAACTTCCCTGACCCCTGATGCCACTCTCTCTTCTACCACCAGGGCTGCCACTCTGCTATGTGAGTGTCTGACACCTAGGGCCCAGTCACCCTTGAGGTAACCTAAACGCAATATATGTCAAGTGGCCAATCCCAACAGAGGCCATTACTATTTGGAGTCATCAGTTAGGGAGAAGAACCTAAAGATCTGGGAAAAGGAGCCAGAAATATGAAGAACAAGATGCACCCAAGACAAGGACACAGCTTATTTGTCTCTTCCTATGGTGCTGAGATAAAGGGAAGGTGCTGGATTCTCTAACAACACAGGGTCCACAGAAGGGACAGAATCTCACATGGAAACGTGCTGACGTCATCTTTGAAGAGACTCTGGGTCTCGCCTGTCTTGGCCATAAAACGGGTGAGTGCCCGCTCCACGTCACGTCTCTGGGATGCAGCCTTCTCCCGCAGGACCTGGTAGTCGGACACAGGCTCGCGGTATGTCTAAAAAGAACAGCAAAGACAATAGAGTAATATCAACGCATCATTCTGTTCTCCTCGGGGCCCTGCTTTGCTGTTTCTATATCCTTCCACCCTTTAAATGATCCACCGCCATCATTTAGAGCAGAGATCCCCAAAGAGCAATGGAAGGGCAGAAAAAATTGATAGAACTATCATTAATATTTATTTTTCATCTGAAAAATTAAGACATGTACAAATATTTACTATATATTACCCCAGGCCTTCATTTAGCCCCCATGACGCCTGGTCTCAGGTGTAAGACGCATCCCGCAGGAAGAATGGGACTCCCCACAAAGCCCAGACAGGGACCACCGGCTCTATCAGTGTGATGTGATATCTTGCAGTACTTGAGTGGCCGCTTAAATGATTTGCGATTGTATCATCTTATTTTCTTTATTTTTGTCCTCACCTTAGGATATTTTCCCATTGATTTTCAGACAGAGTGGGAGGGAGAGAGAAAAAGAGAGAGAGAAAGAAACATTGATGTGAGAGAGACACATCAATTGGTTGCCTCCTGCATGACCCCAACCAGGGCCAGGGATCGAACTGCAACTGAGGTAACGTGCCCTTGGCCAGAATTGAACCCGCAACTCTTTGGTCCACCAAGAGTTTGTTCTAACTACTGAGCCAAACTGGCCAGGGCCATCTTGTTTTCTTAAACCAACCTTCACAATATGGACATGTCCCAAAAGACTTCCTCAAAGAAATATAGACTGAAGATGTCAATGTAAGTGCAAATGAGTAAGAAAACAGCCAGCCTGATACTCCTGCTCCTAATTGAGCTCTTTGGCAATCATGGCGTGCAGTGAAAAATGACTGAGATCTGATCTGAACAAGAAGTTGGCCCAAACATTTTAAATTGTGATGGTAGCCCTAGCAAGTTTGGCTCAGCAGTTAGAACATCAGCCTGCGGCCCAGAGGGACCCAGGTTAAATTCCCGCTAAGGGCATGTACCTCGGTTGCAGTTTGTCCCTGGCCCTGGTTGGGTCATGCCGGTGGCAGCCACTTGATGTGTCCTTTTCACATCGATGTTTCTCTCTCTCTTCCACTCTCTTCCTCCCACTCTATCTGAACAAAAAAGTGGAAAAATGTCCTCGGGTGAGGATAAAAAAAAAAAAAGCAAGACCTTACTATCATTTTTTTTTTTACTATGTTTTTACTGATTTTAGAGAGAGGGAGAGAGAGAGAAACATCAATCGGCTGCCTTCTAAACATTCCCTACTGGGGATCGAGCCTACAAATCAGGACTGTGCCCTGACTGGAAATCGAACCTGGACCTCTCCGTGCATGGGGCAATGCCCAACACAGGCACACCAGCCAGGGTCTTATCATCATTTTTAAGAGAACTGTTTGAGATTCATAAAGTTGGAAATTGAATATAAAATTTTAAACAAAATTCTTCAAATAATTGGTAAATGAGAATAAAATAAATTAGTTTTGTGATATAGTAAGGGGAGCCAATAATGCTATGTATATTTGCAATGTACTTTTTTCAACTATGAGAGCTGTTAAAGTATGAAAATAAGCTGATCTTAGAATCAGACCTCTAACTTATTATTCCACCAAGATTTCAAAAACTAAAAAGTAGAGGCCATCATCACAAGGCTCCACTGAAAAGGAACAAACAGGTTTCCTGAGCCTTCAATAAGGGTCAGATAATCTTTTAATGCCCATCATTTTAGTAGAGTATTACATTATAATGTTCATGTAAATAAGCATGAATGTTTATTGGAGTATGTACTTAATATTTTTGCTGACAGAAATAACACTATGAAAGAGTCAGAGACTGTTACGGGTTGAATTGTGTTCCCTAGTGTATGGCCATACCACCCTGAATGGGCCTGATCTCATCTGAACCATGTACCCTAAAAAAAAGAAAAATATTAAGTACTAACCCCCAGTATCTCAGAATCATCTCATTTGGAAATAGGGTCATTGCAGATGTGATCAGTTAAGAAGAGGTCATACAAGAGTAGGGTGGGACCCTGCTTCAATATGATTGATGACCTTGCAAAAAAATGGCCAGTGAAGACAGACACACAGAACATTACGTGAAGACAGAGGACTGGCCTGCTGCATATACAGGCCAAGAAATGACCTCAGAGTGCCCACAAACCACCAGAAGCTAGGAAAGGCAAGGAAGGATTCTCCTACAGGTTTCAGAGAGAGCATGGCCCTGGCAACACCTTGATTCTGGACGGGTACCCTCCAAAACTGTAAGACAATAAAAGTCTGTTGTTCTAAGCCATCTAGTTTGTGGCACTTTGTTATAGCAGCTCTAGGACACTAATACAGAGACTATAGGTCAAGGCCAGCGGCTGCACTGCAATGGTGGGTGATTATCTGTTCCTTCCCCCAGTATCCTGAGGTGTGGACAAATGTCCTAGAGGATGTGCCCCGACCACCTACAACGCACCATATTTGCACCAGCACCTGGTGTGGAGGCGAGGACAAAGGAAGTGTGTGGAAGAGCCTCTGGGGACTCTTCTGCACAGCGCACCCTTCCCAAAGGAGGGTGAAACTGCTCATCTGGCAAAGGAGAACACATCTGAACCCTGGCAGACAACTCAATTTGTCCTCATTCAGACCCAGAACTCAGAGTTACAGTAAGTTTCATTTCGTGTTATCATCAAGTATGTTTTAAATAATCTTTTCCCGATTTCAAAAACAATTTTTTCTATGGAAAATTTGGAAAACCCAGGAAAGCACACACAAAACAAGAAGAGTCACCTATGACCCACTGAGAATTACTAGGAACGTGTTATGGCATACCTTCCAGTCTCTTCTATGTGGCTAGGTACTTTAGTGTTTTGGTAGGTCAGGCAAAACTGTGCACACCGCACCCTAACTATATTTTTGTCAGCCAATTGGAGGACATCATTCTCCTTTGCCACATTGTTTATCAATAACAAAAGACATTCTGAACTCCGAGCCCACTTTGTACCAACAAACTTTTGGTCTGACAGTCAGTTGAAACTGGCTGCTTCGTATCAGTCACAGGCCCCATCACGTCCTCGACACTCACCGGAGTTTTGATGTAGGTGTGGGGGTCGGGGAACTCAGGAAAATGGCTGGGGATGTGTGGCGGGTGGGGTCGGTTCTGCCCTGCAGTGAGAGCCTTGGGGGTCACTGGCTGATTGGTCACTGGAGCTGCAACAGAGTCACAACTGGTTACTCCTCCACTCAAGGACTTGGGTCTCTATCCAAACCCTCCTTTTCTTAAAGTAAATGCTGGATCTCAATTTTCTGAAAAACAGGTACTTTGTATTTCTAGTTTAAAAGGCCTTTAGCCCTGGTCGGTTTGGCTCGGCAGTTAGAACGTCGGCCTGAGGTCCAGAGAGACCTGGGTTCGGTTCCCACTAAGGGCATATACCGCGGTTGCAGTTTGTCCCTGGCCCTGGTTGGGTGGCACAGGAGGCAGCCACTCGATGTGTCCCTTTCACGTCTATGTTTCTCTCTCTCTCTCTTTCTCCCATTCGATCTGAACAAAAAATGGAAAAATGTCCTCAGGTGAGGATAAAAAAACTAAAAAGGCCTTTAAGGTCTTAAGGACCTCAGATCACTGCCACATGCCCAGCCCTGCTAAATGACCTTGGGTGACCTTCCCATCTACAACACTCTGCCTGCATGCCTCTTAGGTAGGTGAGTGGGTGACAACATCCACTTCACAAAAGAGCATGCTGAGGCTGCTGAGGAACTAAGAAGCTGGGTGGGCTGCGAACCCTCTTTTCGTAGAACCCAGATAACAAAGACATACACTACGCCAGGGTAAGTAAGCGTGGGACTGAAAATGGCACCTTCCACTGCTACTTGAGAGGGAAGCTCTTCAAAAGATACCAGCTAGAAAAAAATGATGAAAAAAGATCTGGTGAATTTTCCCCAGGTCCCACCAGCCCACACAAGTTACTCCCGACTCAGTTTATGGCACTGTTTCTATCTAGGGCATAGGTCAGCAAACATTTTGGGTAAAGAGACAGAGACTAAATATTTTAAGTTTTGCAAGCCATACAGTCTGTCACAACTGTTCAGTTCTACCGTTATAGCACAAAAGCAAAGTACACATGGCTGTGTTTCAATAAAACTTTATTTACAAAAACAGGTGGTGGACCACATTAGGCCTATAGACCATAGTTTACTGACCCTTGATCTAAGGAAGAACTAGAGCTTTAGCATTTTCAAGCAGCATTAACTGCCCCTTTGGGGCCAAAGCACAAGAACCACAGCAACATCGCAGAGACAGTTTTTCTTTCTCATGACTGAACTTCACAACCTACTCCTGTTAGCCCAAAGATGATATTATAGCCCCAAATAATGGAAGGGAGCCTGCAACGGGGAAGTAGCTAAACAAACTAATCCCTCCTCTATTTAATCAATTCATTCCACAAGCATTAATTGAGCACTTACTGAGAACCTCAGTTCAAAGTCACTTACGGGCAGTGATGACCATCCTCTGAGACCGTTTTGCATAAGCTGGGAGAGTGTCCACATTGAAACCTAAGAAACAGGAAAACAAAGTCACTGCCCAGACCACTGGGTATTGAACATAGAAGGGAGAATAATACTGTGTTGAAATAGCTTAAACTCCCAATTTAAGCTTTTTGCTGCCACTGAGAAGAAGCTCCAGCAGAATCCCTCAACAGGGATTCAGGAGGTCTCTTCAATGGGTTCAGAGAAACCCTCTATTGATAACCCTCTTAAGCTGAAAAGCAGACCAGAAACCATGAGGGAATTCAAAAACACTCGGCAGATGTGGCTGACTCGTGGGTCTCATCTCTCTCCTATAACTCCATCTCGGCTGCACTGAGGAACTGGACACTGTACTCACCCATCTCAACAAGTGTGACCACGATATCTGACAGCGTGGGCTGCGTTCTGGCTGTGTGCTCACAGTAAGACTTGGCACTCCTCCCAATTTCTGAAATGTCTGGGAAAGAATCAAAGGCATAAAGTCTTATTCTCAGTACCCAAAAACTTAAGCATAGAATTAACATATGAGCCAGCAATTCGACTCCAGGGTATACATCCAAACACACTGAAAGCAGGAACGTAAACAGATACCTGTACACCAGTGTTCATGGCAGCATCATTCATAATAGCCTAAAGGTGGAAACAACCCAACTGTCATCAACAGATGAATGAATGAACAAAATGTGGTCTATCCATACAACAGAGTAGTATTTAGCCATCAGGAAGGAATGAAGTAGCCCTGGCCAATTGAACGTGGACCTGTGCACCAAAAGGTTGCCAGTTCAATGCCTGGTCAGGACACATACCTGGGTTTTGGGTTTGATCCCCTGTTGGGGTGTTCAATGGAGGCAGCCTATTGATGTTTCTCTCACACATCGATGTTTCTCTCACTCTTCCTCTCTCTCTAATAAAACATTAAAAATTAATAATTTTAGCCCTGGCCGGTTTGGCTCAGCGGTTAAGCGTCGGCCTGGGGTCCGGAGAGACATGGGTTCGGTTCCCGCTAAGGGTGCATACCTTGGTTGCAGTTTGTCCCTGACCCTGGTTGGGTCATGTGGGGGGCAACCACTCAATGTGTCCCTTTCACGTTGATGTTTCTCTCTCTCTCCCCCTCCCACTCTATCTGAACAAAAATTGAAAAATGTCCTCAGGTGAGGATGAAAAAAAAATTAATAATTTTAAAAAGAAAGGAATGAAGTACTGATCCATGCTACAACATAGACAAACTTTGAAAACATTATTCTAAGTGAAATCAGCCATAATAAAAAAGTAAAATGTTTTAAGATTCTACTGATGGGGCGGAAAAAAAAAATTCAGAGTCAAAAAGTAGATTAGAGGTTACCAGGGGCTGCAGGGAAAGGGAAATAGGGAGTTATTGTTTGTGGGTATAAAGTTTCTGTTTGGAATAAAGAAAAAGTTCTGGAAATGGATAGTGTCAATGGTTGTATAACATTGTGAATATATTTAATGCCACCGAATGTAACCGAATTATACATGTAAAAATGGTTAAAACTGGGCCCTGGCTGGATTGGCTCAGCAGTTAGAGCAACAGCCCGTGGACTGAAGGGTCTTGGGTTCAATTCCCGGTCAAGGGCACATACTTGGGTTGCAGGTTCTATTCCTGGTGCCAGTCAGGGTCATTCAAGAGAAAACCAATCAATGTGTCTCTCTCACTTCAATGTTTCTCTCTCTCTCTCTCTCTCTCTCTCTCCCCCTCCCTCCCTCCCTCCCTCCCACTCTCTAAAAAATCAATGGAAGAATGTCCTCGGGTTGGACTAACAACAAAAAAGAGTCACGCTAAAGTCCTTCAGGGAAAAGCAGAAGGTATGAAGCTGGACTCCATTAATGGGCTTCAGAAGTGGATGGAAGGTTCCATGAAAACTAAAATTGGCCCTGGCTGGTTTGGCTCAGCGGTTAGAGCGTTGGTCTGTGGACCGGAGAGTCCCGGGTTCAGTTTCCGCTAAAGGCATGAACCTTGGTTGCGGTTTGTCCCTGGCCCCAGTTGGGGTTGTGTGGGTGGCAACCAGTTGATGTGTCTCTCTCACATCGATGTCTCCCCCCCCTCCCCCGCTCTATCTGAAGATAAATGCAAAAAAGTCCTCGGGCGAGGATAAAAAAACAAAACTAAAATTGTGCTCAATTTTACACACACACTAAGAACCCTTTTCTTGGAATGGGTCCACAGAATTCATCAGATGTAAAAGGGATCCAAAAAGGCATGAAACCGAAAAAGCTGTGTGGACTTCCGGTCAAGATGGGGGTAGGTAACTGCGGTATCACGTCCTCCCACAACTACATCAAAGTTACAACTAAACTACAGAACAACCATCATTCAAAACCGCCTGAAATCAAGCTGAATGGAAGTCCTATAACTACGGAATTAAAGCAGCAGCCACATGGAGACTGGTAGGAGGGGCAGAGGCAGATGGGCTGGTGTGGCAGATAAAAATCAGGAGGACACCTCAGCTGGGAAGGTCCCTGTCCCACATCAGACACCCCGCTCAGGGTTCCAGTGCCAGGAAGAGAAGTCCCCATAACTTCTGTCTGGAAAAACCAGTGGGAACTGAGGCTCAGGGAGGCTGACGTGGCTGGAGCCCCAGGCAGCTCCTTAAAGGGCCAGTGCACAGACTTATCGAACTCTCTCCCTCTAAGCTTGGAGGGGAGGCAGCTCGAGGGGCGCCAGGGACATACAGGAAAGAACTGAGCTGTTTGGCATTGGAGCGAGGGCTGGAGAGGGTGCTTTCTCCGGGACAAACGTGCTGTCAGAGGCCTTTGTTCCTTGGGTGAGCCTTTCCCTGGGGTGGCAGACAGAAGCCATATCTGGGACTCTAGCAACTTGGCACACACTGGTTGCCCCTCCCTGGTGATTCCCTGAGGCCCCGCCCCACCCCACCCAACTTTCAGGCCCACCCAAGCTGTTGCCACTTGCTTAACCATAGGATTGGCCTGTCTTGGATCCTGCTTCAGGTTTTCCTAAATTCAAACAAGCAGCATCTGGTCTCAGCTAGCCCCATACCTCTCGTTAAGTGATACACAGAAACAAACACAGGGAAGCAGCCAAAATGAGGAGACAAAGAAACAGGTCCCAAATGAAAGAACAGAACAAAACTCCAAGAAAAGAACTAAGCGAAATGGAGATAAGCAACTTAACAGATGCTGAGTTCAAAACACTGGTTATAAGGATACTCAATGAACTTAGTGAGGGCCTCAAGAGCATAAAAAAGGACCAGTCAGAAATGATGGATGCACAGTCAGAAATGAAGGAGGCACTAACTGAAATAAAGAATAATTTACACAGATTCAATAGTAGAGTATATAAATCCAAGAAGCAAACCATCAATTTGGAATATAAGAAAGCAAAAAATGCCCAATCAGAACAGCAAAAAGAAAAAAGAATAAAAAAAGATGAGGATAGTGTAAGGAGACTCTGGGACAACTTTAAGTGTGCTAACACTCGCATCTTGGGGGTGCCAGAAGAGAGAGAACAAGAAATTGAAAACCTGATTGAAACAATAATGGCAGAAAACTTTCCTAACTTGGTGAAGGAAAGAGACATACAAGTCCAGGAAGCGCACAGTCCCAAACAAGATGAACCCCGAGAGGCCCGCACCAAGATACATCATCATAAAAATACAAAAGGTTCGCCCTGGCCAGTTTGGCTCAGCGGTTAGAGCGTCAGCCTGCGGTCCGGAGAGACCAGGGTTCGGTTCCCACTAAGGGCACGTACTTCGGTTGCAGTTTGTCCCCGGCCCTGGTTGGTCGTGCAGGTGGCAGCCACTCGATGTGTCCCTTCACATCGATGTTTCTCTCTCTCTCTCCCTTCCTCTCTCTCCCTCCCACTCTATCTGTACAAAAAATGGAAAAATATCCTCGGGTGAGGATTAAAAAAAAAATACAAAAGGTTCAAGACAAAGAGAGAATCTTAAAAGCAGCAAGAGAAAAGCAGTTAGTTACCTACAAGGGAGTTCTGAACATAAGGCTTCCAGCTGATTTCTCAAAAGAAACTTTGCAGGCCAGAAGGGAGTGGCAAGAAATATTAAGAGTGATGAAAAGCAAGAACCTACAACCAAGATTACTCTATCCTGCAAAGCTGTCATTTAGAATTGATGGCCATATAAAGAGTTTCCCAGACAAGAAAAAGTTAAAGGAGTTCATCACTACCAAACCGTTATTATATGAAATGATGAAGGGTCTTTTTGAAGAAAAAGATAAAATATACGAGCAAACAAAATGGCAATGAATACATATCTATTTACAATTGAATCTACAAACAAAATGAACAGGCAGAACAGAAACATTCTCGTAGATACAGAGAACATTTTGTTGGTTGCCAGATGGGAGGGGGGTTGGGGGAATGGGTGAAAAAGGTGCAGGGATTAAGAAGTACAAATTCATTGCTAGACTGACAAACCACAAAGGGAAAGGGGTTGGGGGGTGGGAAGAAATAAACCAAAGAACTGATATGCATAACCAATGGACACAGACAATAGTGTGGGAAAAGGCGGGAGGGGGGCGGGAGTGGGGAGGAGGGGGTCAATGGGGGAAAAATGAGGAACATCTGTAATACATTCAACAATAAAGTTTTTTTTTATCCTCACTTGAGGACATTTTTCCATTTTTTGTTCAGATAGAGTGGGAGGGAGAGAGAGAGAGAGAGAAACATCGATGTGAAAGGGACACATCGAGTGGCTCCCACCTGCACGACCCAACCAGGGCCAGGGACAAACTGCAACCGAGGTACGTGCCCTTAGTGGGAACCGAACCTGGGTCTCTCTGAACTGCAGGCTGACACTCTAACCGCTGAGCCAAACCGGCCAGGGCAACAATAAAGATTTTTTAAAAAAGGTATGCAACCCCTGCTCAGGAGGACTAATAGTTCAGAAGTTAAAAGCAAACAGTGCTTGACAGGGAAGGGTGTCTAACTGAAAGCATATAGCCAGCTCGCCATGCTCCCCTGAGCAAGCCACTAATACTAGCCTCCACACATGAAAATGGTGGGCAGCATCTGTTTACTGGGGCAAAATCTAATGAGAACTATTAGTCTTGGAATCCCTGGGTGATCCTAGAAACTTTTCCAAAGCCCACAGGTCAAAACTGTTTCCATAATCAAATTAGGACATTCTTTGACTTTTTTACTCATTCTCTCATGTAGTTTTCCAGAGGCTATATGACCTGTGATGACATCAAGGCTCTGACAGATAAAGGAGCATATGCTTGTTCATTCTTATGTTTTAAAATTTTGTTTTACTCTCTAATGTGGCAGTGTGTGTGTGTGTGTGTGTGTGTACATCCATCCATCCCATGTATACACAACCCCACAAATCCACAGGATCCTCAATATTTAAGAGTCCACAGGGGTTCTAAAACCAAAAAAATCTGAGATCACAGCTTTAGGAAAACATTTGGTATGTAAAAGTCCAAATATCAGAGAGCCACCTCTCCCTAGATCTTGCCCTACCTGGGGCAGCCCACATCCAGTGACTGACCATGACCAATGTATAAAGGCAGGGCCTTTTCCGCTTGATGTCGGATACCTGATGGACAATTACTACCCTAGAACTCCCCACTGAGGTGGCCAATTTTTTCCCATAAATATGTTTTTATTGATTATTAGAAAGAGAGGAAGGGAGAGGGAGAGAGAGAGAAAAACACTGATCAGCTGCCTACTTGCACATACCCCAACAGGGAATGAACCGGAAACCTAGGTATGTGCCCTGACAGGGAATTGAACTGGCAACCTTTTGGTGCGTGGGACAACGTTCAACCAACTGAGCCACACCAGCCAGGGCTAAGTTGGCCAATTTTTTGTTTGACCTGCACTGCAGTTCAACTTCTCCCTCTGTCTAAATCTTTCTCTCACTTCCATTCATAGGTGTTGATACCCCCAAAACACCTTAAATACCCCATCCCTCATCCCATCTCACCCTCCAAAAAGGGCCAAACAGGGAAATACACTGTATATGCAAAAAAGCCGATATGAGAGAATTCCAGGGTCCTAAACCTCAAGACATTTCCTTTTAAAAGTGTTTTTTTCCCATTCTATGAAACTTACCTTTGCCCGGCTGGTGTGGCTCAGTGGTTGAGCATCAACCCATGCACCAAGAGGTCACCAGTTTGATTCCCGGTCAGGGCACATGCCCAGATTGTGGGCTTTATTCCCATTGGGGGTTACGCAGGAGGCGGCCAATCGATGTTCTCTCTCATTGATGTTTTTCTCTCTCCCTCTACCTTCCTCTCTCTCTCTCTAATATCAATAAAGAAACACACACAGACACACACACACACACACAAAAACTTACCTTTACTCTTTGTATCTTTGTACATAATACAGAATCTGATCACATCATGTGTTGGCACCTATTTCGTAGGAATTAATCCTAACTCTCCAGCAAAACTGTAAGTTATTTGATTATAGAACACAAACAGCACTAAAAGTACCTATAACTCATCAAGAGCTTACAATGTTCCCAGTATTGAATGATTTATGTATACATCTCACTTATACTCACAATTCCACGAGGTCTAAATTACTATTCTATTTCGCAAATGAGGAAATTAAGAGTCAGGAGGTCTAGCAATTTGCTCCAGCTATTAAGTTGCAGAGCAATGACTTACACCCAGGTCTAACTGATTCTAAAGCCTGTAAATCACTTTGGTATGTTCTTTTATTTTTTGAGGGAGGGGGAGGGGGAGGGACATCAATGTGAAAGCAGAACTCCATCTGCTGCCTCCTGCACACCCCCCTACTGGGGAGTAAACTGAAAACCCAGGCATGTGCCCTGAGTAGGAATTGAACCAGCAACCTTTCAGTGCAGCCACTGACACCCAGCCAACTGAGCCACACTGGCTAGGACTGTTTTTCTTTTTCTTAAATCTTCTCTAACACTATCACAATGCAGGACACAGCACAGATGTTTACTTGACTTGAAGAAGGCCTATTGTTTCCTGATACTTACAGCTCTGTAGCATCTCTGTCAATGTTTCCACAGATGCTTTCTCAGCACTCTCAAACCCTGCCTCTGTCAGCAAGGAGCTCACAACCACTTGCAGGGTTCGCCTCCGGGCCAGATGGTAGTTATCAGCAGGGTTAGTGGATTGTTTACTTCCTGACCTCTGTGAATCAGCAGCCCAGAAAGAGAGGAGAGTTTCATCCAATAAATAAGGATGCAATCACATACTTCACACATTGTCAATGGCAAGCAAACATTCTTTTGCTAGTACTTACTTATCAGTGCTTAATAAAACATGATAGCCCTTGATGTTCAGACTTACAGATCTTAGCCGAATAAATAATAATTGAGCACCCAAGGGGATCTAAACACGGAGACAACCTTTCTGCTTCCCTAAAACTTAAAATTCTAATAACACAAATGGTTGTTTCTTACTTTCTATTTTAGCAGCTTATCAGGATATACAGCTGAAGAAACACACATGATGAGACTGAATTTATGTCTCTCTCAGGAAAAAAAAATGATCTCTCTTGTTCTTCCCATCTGTATACCATTTCACTAACAAGGGAAATTAAAACAATAACACATGATGCTGAGGAGAGGAGGGCAAAGGCTAACAGCACCGGACAGTATAGGAAAGCTAAATATTTTGAAACAGGAATCCCTCCCAACTTTGGCTAGCCAATAAGAGGCGAAAACGGCCTCTTCGGACCAATCAGGAGGTGTTCCGGGTTCCCAACCCCAAAACGAGCCAATCAGCACACAGGTCCGCCAACTCAGGAGGCCGCCGCCAAGTCCCAAAGAGGGGGGGCACGTACGGCCTGAAAGACCCTCTGCCATACGGAACTCATGGTGGGGCTGGATGTATTGGTATGAGCTTGTTGCCCAGGCTAGGGGAAAGTTACAGAATGCCCAGACTCTCTCAGCTTCGACCCCGCGCCTCCCGCCCTTACCGTTCCGGAGCTGCTGGCCCCGGCAGTAGCCATCGTGTCGGCCATCTTGCTCTGGCGTAACGTGCGCGAGCGCAGGGCAGGATGGGATTTGTAGTCGCCGGGCGGGGAGGGATGGCGAGGGGGCGGGGCGGCGCGCGCCCCTCTGGGTTTTCTGAAACCCGACTGAGCGAGGGCTGCTTCTGGGGATCCGGCTCACGTGACCTCCAGGGAGCGACGGGTTGATGGTGCCCCCGCGAGCCTCAAAATTGGCCCGGAAAATGCGCCCTCGGTTTCACCCCTCTTTCCACATGAAATCGTTTCTCATCAAGAGCACACCCCTGGAACGCCCCAAACAGGACTGTTAGCAACACCTGGCTGGGTCCCTCCCGGTGCCAAGGACTCACTGTTGGCGGGAGGGGCCAGGGAAGCTGTGTTGTTAAGCTCTCCTAGAGAGGTGATCCTCCTAGAGCGGGACATTTTGGGAAATCTTATGTTGTGCTGCGACTCTGCAGCCTGCCAATGGCCCACCTGCAACCGGAACCTAACTAGGCGACCCTCGTCCAGGTCTTCCTCTGCACCCTGCCGCCCTCAGTTAACCCGCAGGTGCTCGCGGAGCCGGCCCGGAGGCGCAGGGCGGGGGGCGCTGTCCCTTGCCCGCCTCACTCCCAGGGCGAGCGGTGCCTGCGGGTTTTCTGTTCATGTGCTCGCCGGCCCTGCCCGATGGGGGTTCTTCGTGCGCGGCCCGCAGCGCCTCTCATTCTCCTTGTGCGGGCGCCTGGCAGGACGCGGACGCTGGGTCTGAATCCTGACATCGCTGGCTGCGGGGCTACGGCACGTGACCGCACCTCGCGGTGCCTCAGTTTCCTCTGGTGTGAAACGGGTGGGACTGGTGGGGGGCGGGGGAACGAGCCAATGCAAAGGGTCTATCATGGTGCTAGACGTACAGTAAAGGGTCAGGAAACGTCGCCTGCTGTTGTTTATTCCCTGGGTAGCACGTGGAGGAGCGGCGGATGCCCTGAAGGCAGAAGTCTGGACACGTACCTGCCCGCCACGTGCACCTGAGTTCGGGGGGCGCCTTCACCCCCTCACCTCGGGCAAGGGAGGGGAGTCTCAGGGTTCTAACCTTAGCTGAGCGGAGCATCCAGCCCCCCTGGTCTCCCCCGCCCACTCTTCTCCACTTCCTGCCCAGCTTTAAACTCGCGCTCCGCCGCTCCGCGAGGACTTTGTAAACACGCCGCGCCTGCGGGGGTGGAGACTGAGGTTGTTTGGGCTCCGGAGAGAGTGGTGCACGCCCCTCCCGGCCGCTGGAGGCTGCGACCCCCCACCCCTAACGTCCCCAAGGCAGAAGATGGAGGCTGCGGAGAGAGTGTCTGCCGCTACTGGAGATGCTCCGGGGGCTCACCTGCCAAGGAGGTAGGCTTGGAGGCTGGAGAAGCCTTGGTAATGGGAGGTCAGCACTCCCCTTCCCCCCGCCTTTGCTGCGACCTCTAAACTCAAGCTGGACTCCGGGGCCGGGGATGGGACGTGGGTGGTTTAAGGAGATCACTGAGCTCTCATCACCTCCTGGTTGTCCCCCAGAGCTCGGCTTACTTTCTGGGCCAAGGGCAGAGAAGCCCCACCAAAGCCCTGAGTGCTCTGTAGGTCTGCACAAACCCCTTCCAAGCTGATCTGGAGGCCCAGGGGGCTGCTGGAGGTGGGAGGCGAGAAGGAGAGCAGAGCCAGTGTGGGCAGGGAGCCTTCGGGTTCTCCTGCCAGCCAGGGCCCAGGGAGGAAACCAGAGGACAGGATTGGAAGGAAGAACCCCTCAGTGTTCCAGTGGAGTCTGATGGGTACAGGAGTGATGGCCTTAGCCTCTTCTGTGTCAACAAGAGGAGTAGCTGAAGAAAGCGGTTGCCGTGACTAAGGGAACATTTATGTATTCATTTCCAAACATTGATTGAGCACCTACTATGCGCCTGGGATTATATCGATACTGAGGGTGCAATGATGTTATTCACCTACACCTAGTGTGGATCATGAATAACAGACATAAAGCATCAAGCTGGGGAACCTGAGAAAGCTTCAGAGATAAGAGGATATGTGAATTGGATTTTGAGAGAAATGATGGGAAGTCTTTGGGGGGCACTTATTCATTCCACAGAGTTGTACTGAACCCTGACTGTGGTGTTGGGCATTGGGATACCATGGGGAACCAGGTTCAACCCCCTATCTAGGCATGAAGACGAAGTGGTAATAAACGGGATGAATTCAGGGAAAAGGTTGACCCCCCCACCCCCCAAAACCCAGAAATTCTCAGCTACATACAGCTGGGAAGGTTCCCTGGGGGTTGCATGACAGTCTACCCGCAGTCTTGAGGCACCCATTCGTCATCCCTGGGCTCTAGGGCCATTTCCTCTAACAAATCCTTGCTTTAGGCCGTCCACGGCAGTTCTCTTGGAGACTAGACATGAGTGAAGAGAACCAGCCCTCCCATAGCATTTCTGCTCTTTCAGTTCCCAGGCTCCTTTGGGAGATGACTGACAGAACAATTAATGAATTCATTCAGCACCTGTTTGCTGTGGCCATACTGTGTGCATAGGCGAGGTGTTGAGGCCATAATGGTAAAAAAGTCAGAGCTAAGTTCCAGGTGGGTACACCTGGAACTTAGAATCAAAAGCATCTCTGAGAATTCCAGCTGGATCCCAGTCTATGTCCAGTGCTTGAGACCATGAACTCCATGGTTCCAAACACCTTCTCTTCCTGCTTGCTTTCCTTTTTCAAAAGGGTTCAAAATACTGACTCACACTTATATAGCTCTGTCAGGTACTCTTCTAATTGTTTTAGGTTAATGTCTTATTTAATCCTCCAAACAGGCCTATGAGGTAAGCACTTGGAAGAAACTCAGGCAAAGAGGAGAGAAGTAATTTTTCTAAAGAGGACACCAGAAGGAAATGATAGAGCTGGGATTTAAACCCAGGTCACTTCACCTGGAAGGCCCTGTTCTTAACCACTAGGCAAATCTGCCTCTTGACTGTCTACACAGAATGTACACTTGAGCCAGGGGCTTAGCAGTTTCCCAAACGGACTCTCTGGTCCTGTGTCTTGGGTGATACAGAGGAGAATAACCCATTAGCTGAATCAATGTGCTGATACTGGTTACAGAGCACCCAGCAGGTCTGGAGTAGGGATGGTAGGGTTAGAGTAACTGCACAGAGCTGGTATCCTCTCCTAATGGCCCTGCGCGAGCACGTGTGTGTGTGTGTGTGTGTGTGTGTGTGTGTGTTGAAGCCTCACTCATGGAAAGGAACAGACCAAGGTTTGATGCAACAAAGAACTCAACATGGATGTGATGTGCCAGAATCTGGGAGGAGGGAAACCAAGGCACCTCTTTTGTTGTCAGTCTTTAAGAATAGCAGAGCCTGGCCAGTGTGGCCCAGTGGATTGAGCATTGTCCCATGGATTGAGAGGTCCCGGTTCGATTCCCATTCAGGGCACATGCCTGGGTTTTGGGTTTGATGCCCAGTGGGGAGTGTACAGGAGCAGCTGATCAATGTTTTCCGCTCACATCGATGTTTCTATCTCCCTCCTTTCCTCTCTATAAAAAAAATCAATAAAAACGTTAAAAAAAAAAAAAAAAGAATAGCAGAAACCCTCATATTCTAGATTCTAGGAGGAACAGTTCTTCTTGGTAGCTGAGTAAGGAAGACAGTCAAGTGGAGGGAGCAGTCTTAAGAAGCTCACCTCCGCCCCACGGCTGCTGCATCCCAAAGTTGCATCTGTGGCTCTGACCCCCATACCCCCAGGCAGGCTGGGACAGTGCCCATTATAGGAACCAGGTCACAGTGCAGAGGTTCGTGGATTCCAGCCATTTTCCCATTATCTTTCTGAAACTCCCAGGAGCCCTCTGCACAGATCTGGGGAAGCCCTCAGGCTGTCCTCTCTGCCTGCAGTCAGTCCACCCCCACCAGGTATCTAGAGAGGATGTGTGTTGGAGGGATGGTAACAGGTAAGCAGGATGTGAACATTCAGAACTATGCAGGCCTCGGGGCTGCTCCTCTGCCACACACACCTCCTTCCTCCCTCATCATGAGTGGGTGCCCCAGCCCCTGCTCCGGGCATACTTCTGGCTGGGGAGAGAGAACAGGTTGTACTCTTGAGAAACCACAAGAGGAAGTTGAGGGAGGGTAGGGGTGGGGAAAGTTCTGGGGCCTATGCCAAGTTTCTCTTTCAATGCCCAGCGGGTAGATGTGTTTATTTTGGTGTGTGTCTCTTACTCTCAAAGACATTTAACTTTTAAACCCTCTGAGATTTAAAGAGTGGTTGAGGCCTGCCCTATTACAACAGGATGGTGTGGCCAGAGACAGGCCTGGAAATGGTTTTGAACAAGGTAACCATTTTTTGGATTTCACCCGGGGTTCCTGCTGGTCAAGCAAGGCCGGCTGACTCCAGAAAGTCTCCTTTTCTCCTGCCCTTTCTTCTTGCTCTTCCCAGAGCACTGCCTGCAGCCCTGCCCTCCTTGGCAGAAAGTGGTGGTAATGACCACTGTGTTGCCAGGAGCTGTCCTGTGGTCAGTCCCTCTCTGCCCAATTTACAGCTGAGGAAGCAGCTCAGAAAAGCTAAGAAACTTGCCTGAGGGTCCCACAGCTAGTAAGCGGCAGAGGTTAGATTTGAACACTGGTCTATCTCATTTCAAAGCCTTTTCTCTTAATGTCTAAATTACCCCCCAATCAGAGCATTAACTTCTCCAGCATATCAGACCCTGCACAGTAGGGAGGTTGAAACCCAAAGGTGTTTTTAAAATGATGCTGCTGGTGTGAGGAGGGGATGGCTTGGGTATAGAATTGGAAGGGGTTCCTTGGAAGTTAGTATATTAAAAAAAGAACAACTGAGTGAAAAAAGAAGACATAGCGGATGGAATGATGTCAAACTCTGGAAGGCTGAGCCCACGTGGGAAGAAGACTTAGGAAGGATATTATAGTTGTGTTCAAACATCTGAAATGTTGTCTTTGGAAGCCCCCAGGTAGAGGAGACTGGTGGAGGCAGATTTCTAAAAAGCATGAGAACTTTCTAACAAATTATTGCATAATTCCCTTCTGAAGAA